GCAGTGTAGTAATTGTGGTGATTGTAGTAGTAATAGTAGTAGTAGTATTAATTGCAGTAGTACGCGCCGAACTCGGAATACGAACCACGGAATACGAACCGCCGAATACAAATCAAGGAGTAGCAGTCACGGATGTCACGCAAGCACTGGACCATACTGGCACTAACAATATCGCAATATCCCACGTAATCATGATGTGAGGAAAAAGCCTCAGAAGTTCGTTTATTGGAAGAAATGACGGAGATTAAATGATATGTACAAAGTAGGCTCATTGGTTAATCAGGTTTCTGCGAATCGCGTTACAGTATTGCTTGTGTCTTTTTGCTTCAGTCTGGGCGGCATGGTCTGTGATTGTCTGGTGAAATCTACCCATAGTTTGTGGNGGTCAGAAGCAGGGACACGTTGTTGACGCCACCCGTGAAGGTTGATTGATCACAGTTGTCCAAAAACTGTAACTTGTCGCTCCGTGGTACGCGTCATCTCATACACCCCGGTCACCGCATGCAGTTATAACAGTTAAGAGCCAGTATCGTAAGTTACTTTATAGCGACAAACGGAAGTACACTGGACACTTGAATCAGTGCTAGGTCTGGACACTGCTGAAGCCTGACTAGGGTTCTCAACAAACGCGGATTCAGATCCCGCGGCTATGATTCGTGTGTTTGACAAAGAGTGTTTGTTAAATCTGGTGAATGTAATCACCGAAAATACACTCGTCTGGGCCTTGTATTCTGATTTCAATCCTCGACATATTGGCCGATTTGTATCTGATTTTCTCCTATTCCATGTCGTGTTTGTGCAACCGAACCTCCCAATCTTTTGTCAATACGCATTCCGGATCGATTAACCGAACGGGTTGAATAAAGACCGACTAATACCGGTGTGCTTGCAGGTACAAGTCCAATGCTTGCTGAAATGGACCGGAACTAAATTGATCAAAGTGATCATTCTCGTTTCCCCTCCCCCCTCCCCCCCGGNCGGTGTGTGTGTGTGTGTGTGTTGCTTCTTTCACTCGGTTCACGGATTTCGAGCACGGGACTCCAATTCTCTGGAATTCAACAACAATAGTGGCGAAGGAAGAAAAATCGCACGAACCACGAGAGATGTGCTGTGGGAGCACTGATTGGTTCTCTTTTCGAGTATTCTGAATGAATGCGCCGAAACTATGCCTGCTTATTCATACCCACCTGTTCAGAATACACTGCACCGGATATTCGACGGAGCTGATCAGTGAAACCTCATTGCTGAGGGTATTGCAAACGGAATTGGAAAGGAGGACTAGTGCTGGTGGTGATGGTGTTAGATGTGTGTTTGTGAATAGGTGAGTCCGTGCTTGCGTGTACAGTTTTATAATACAACGATAGACATCCAACATGGTTTTTCAAGGTTTCTGCTGGGGCAAACCGTTCATGATAAATTGTGTGCATCGTCGATCAGGTTTCAAATTCCACTGTTTCCCAACCCCCCTCCCCCCCACGCCTCTCTGTCACACGTCCAGAAAAAGCAGTATACGAGGGGAGAGATATTCGTTGATTCGGTCGTCCTAACCTCGATCTCATTATTAATCACATTTCGGCACGTACTTACTACTTGCGTACGTATGTGCACACGCGTAAGCGTCCACTTATAGCGTGTCATCTATTTCCTGATCACAGAAACCGTAAAG